TGACAAAGATAATGGACTAAAATAGGTTGGCTGGCCCGTATTAAAAAGACAAAGACTTCGAGTGGTTAAACCTGAATCAAATATTTTTCCTCCGACATCCTGGCGTGTGCTCCCCCATTAAGGGTTGTGACAATTAAAATCGCCCATCAAAAGGAAAGGCTCAGGAAGCTGGTCTAACAGTGAGGTAAAATCTGAACATTTCAAAGTAAAAGAAGGTGGCAGATATCGAGAGCATACTGTAAGAGCTTTATGATGCATGAACCGAACAGCCACTGCTTTAAGTGGTGCGGACAGCGGAACCTCTCTGCACGGTACGTCTGTTGGGAGAACCACCGCAACTCCTCCAGAGGAACTGCTACAGCTCAGACGATCCTTCCGGAAAACACGGTAACGTCTGAGCAAATTAGTACGACTGCGACTCAAATGAGTCTCTTGCACGCACAATGCTCGTGGCTTGTATTCCTCCAGAAGATGTTCTACATCGTCCAGGTTTCTTAGAAGGACACGACAGTTCCATTGTATGAGCACTGAAGCCATTTTAGAAACAAAATCCTGAGCACATGAAAAAGTGAGTTAGTTGCTTCACTTGGGAGGATTTACGGGTTTTTTAGATTTTTGTTTCTTTGTAGCCTGCCACTCCATCTCATCCTGGTCAGACCCCGGAGTCGATGAGAGGGCAGACAAGGCAGCGCCAGCGTTCTCCTGAGCCCCGCAGGCAGACTTGCCTCCTGGCCCCGGGAAGGCCTGTGCCACGACGCCCCAATCCGCGGCCAAGACCAGAACTACGTGAAAAGGTGGTTGATGTACTGGGGAGGGGTTCTGATCCGTCCATCTGTTCCACCTCTTTCCCGACAGGGAAGTTGCGTGTGAGCCACGCAGTTCCTTGGTGGCTGGCTTCCTCTGCAGGGACTGAAAAAGAGGGCCTCGCTTTTTCTCCTCCTTAGGAGAGCGGCCAATGTTGACAGGTGCAGCCGGTGCTGTCCTGTCCTGAGCAGAGGAAGCAGCTAAAGCGCCCTCTCCGCGAGAAGAGGAAGCCTGCTGACCCTGCGCCACAGTCTTGAACGGCAGGGCGGGCAAGGCAATTACCGGCCTGCCCTTGCCCATGGGAGAAGCATGCTGCTCCTGTTGAGGGGATGGGGCACTTAGGTCAGCCACCAAGATCTCAGGAGAGACCTGGGTGGCCCTAGTCTCCAAGCATGGTGCAGGGCCCCTGCGCACCACCTCGGCGTAACTTCCCTTTGAAAGGAAGGACAGCTTCTTAGCTTTAAAACAGGGGATATTCTCCTTTGCTTTAGGGAAAGGATTCATTTTTTCTTGACACCAAATGGGACAGGTGCGGGAGTAAGCTGAGTGCGGCCCACTGCAGTTACTACGGCGGCCGCTGCCTCGCAGATGTCAGCAACATGTTCCTGGCTTCCACATTTCGCACAAGTTTCTTTCCCTAGACAACTGCGTGACTCATGCCCAAAGCGCTGGCAGCGGAAGCACCGTTGCGGGTGTGGGACATAGGGACAGATGCAACATTGGAGATAGACCATCTTCACAGTTTCGGGGAAAGTGCGTCTTTCCAAAGTTAAGATTACATGCTTTGATGGGGTTTCCTTGCCATCCTTCCGGAACATAATACGTTTAAAGGCGACAACACCGGCATATTTCAGTCCTTCCAGGATTTCTTCCTCGCTAGCGTCAAGGAAGTGGTCTTCAGAAAGAACTCAATGAAACGTCTTGAGCGTCCGGTGAGGACTCGCGGACACTTCGACATCGACTATGCTGGTCATCTTGGAGAGTGCCTCACTTTGAACTTTCGCGTACACTTCAACGGAAAGTCGCCTGAGTGGAGTTTTTTTGCTATGTGCGAGAACCCGATGAGGTTTTCTAGCACCTTGGCTACCACAAAAGGGGACAATTTGAACACTGGTTTGTCTCTGAGGTTCAAGTGGATCACGAAGAACTTTGTAAATGTTTCCGTTCCAGGGGCTTTTCCAATGATTTGGGGCTCAGGGCGAGGCCTCTTAAAAGCTTTCCTTGAACCGGGTGTAGAGAGGAGGGGCTCCATATGAAGGGCCGGAACTTCGGCGTCTAGCGCACCACCATTCACCACGGAGTCCAACGAGGGGATATAGGTAACATCTCGTAACAGGTCTGGCTTGTCTGAGTATCTTACTCTAACAGTGCTACTAGGATACTATAACCGAGTGTGGGTCAAGAAAGAGTTCTGTCGCCACCCAAGGTTAGCCCTTGCCATCAAAGAAGATGAAATAGGAAGGAAGACGAGAAAAAGAAGAATGGTTAAAGATAGAAGAGAAGAAGAAAGGCGACTACCTGAATCATCCTGATAGGGCTAAGCCAGTACACCGGTCAACGAGAAAGAGGAGCCGAAGCGGTATATTGCCCCGCCCATGGGACCCCGAAGGTTCCAAACGTACCCCGGGCTCAGCTCAACCACCAGGATCTCCTTTTCCCCAAACACGGGTTAAGCCACGCACAGCCAGACGTAGGTGGGCGAACCCACATGGCTCGGGGTTCGTAGTGACGCCATTCACCAAGCAACTATTAAAGTGGGTGCCCCCCCCCCCATGCGGGTATGGTGGCCCATGTGGCTGGAGTCCGTGGTGACGCTACTCACCAAGCACCTACCAACCAACGTGCAGGCGCCGCCTGCGGGGCTGGGGGTCCGTGGAGACGCCACTCTCCAAACACCTGCTTTCACAGGTGCCCCTGCGGGGAACAGAAAGTGAGCATGCTTTTAAATACATGATCAGCGCACATGACAGCTTGTTTTTTATCCAACTGATGAAAATGAGGTACTCTCAGTTTTTCAAGACTAAAAAAAAATAGTAGAAGCAGCGATTTTCATTACCTTCAAATTAAACCTATTGAGAATGTTGTTCCATCGTTTCGTGTTTGACACATATTTTAAATCTAGCGCTGCAAACAGTGGTTTTCCCTAAGAAAATGCAGGTGTCAAAAGTTTCAGTTTTACATAAAGCATGGGGTGAGAATAACTTACAAAATTATAGACCTATTTTCGTTTTACCAATATTTTTAAAAGGTCTCGAAAAAATTTTACATAAACGATTATACATTTTTTGTGAAAATTTTCAATTTTTACACTCTGTCAGTAAGGGTTCAGAAAAAGGTCATTCTACTGAACTCGCAATGTTCAAGCAACAATTATTATTTTCAATAATATTGAAAACAAACTGGTTACACTCGGAGTAGTATAGCTTTTTCTAAAGCGGGGCTATATGTAAATACCGAAATATTAATACCATCTCTGCTATGCGCCTTATATACAAGTCCCTTTTGTACAGATACTACAACTATTGCTTTTTAGTATGGGGAATTACGACTGCCACATATCTTAAACTAACACATAATCTTCAAAAAAAGCAACTCGAGTTTTATGTCATGCAGCATACGATAGTCGTACCAAGCCATTAATTCATAAATTTAATATAGTACAAATTCCAAACCACCCTAGTTATAAATATGCCCTTTCCTAGAAAAGGTATTTTAGACAGAATCAAAATATGCATCTATCAATTTCTCAACATGAACTGAGACAAGCAATTTATCCGACTTCTAATGCTGAGAGATGGATAGTGCCCCATTCAAGAGTCAACTATGGGAGTCAGATGTCATAATGTACCCTCCCCCATCTTCTGAATCGTTTTATGAACTCAATATATATATATATATATATATCTTCAGTAGGTCCGCCAAACAAATATGTTCACTTTTTGTCTAATGCTTACTCCCATAGATACTCTAAAAAAAAGCTTTGTATCACAGAAACGTTTCCGGTTTGCCCGTGTTGTTATTGTGTCACTTACTTTTTAGTTTTTTTTTTCTTTCCCTTTTGCTTACAGCATCTTTTTTAGCAATAGAGATGATGTCCTTCCCGTGCGGTCTTATGAATACAACAAATGCTAGTTAGTGTCTTTAAGTTTATCTTTTTTTCCCTGTGCTGCTACGGGGGCAGAGGCTAGTCAAGCGGCGTTCGAGGTCCTTTTTTCTCTGCCTACTTTCTCAGAAACAAGATCAATAAATAATTTGAAAAAAAAAGAAGGGGAGAGTATGGAGAAGGAGGAGGGGAGGGTGTGGAGGACGAGGAAGAGAGTATGGAGGAAGAGGGGAGGTTATTAAGGTGGAGGAGTGGAGGAGGAGGACGAGGAAGGAAGAAGGAGGACAGAGGGAGGAGGACCCCTTTCCTCTCCCTCCTTACAATATATACATGTCCCCTCCTTCGTACCCTCCCAACCTACTCCTCCGTACCCTCCCCTCCTCCCAGTTTTCCTGTTAAATTTAGCTGGAAAATTCACGCCTCGTGACTTTAACACCAATTCAGTTTCCCCACTAAATTTACCGGGGAAAATGACGTCACCTGACCTCGTGTCACGTCACCCATGAACAAATTCCGTTTCTCGGCTAGATTTAGCGGTGAAACTGGCGTCACATGACGTCCACACCAAGTCAGTTCTCCCGCTAAACTTGGCAAGAAACTGAATTGGTGTTGAGGTCACGTGACTTCAGGTTTACCGTTAAGTTTAGCGGGGTTACGTCGACGGCGCCGCCGCTATACGCGGAATGGGCGCCTAAGAGTAACGCTCTGGAAGCAAAATAGCCAAAGGCTTGTTCAACAGGGAACGTCATAATGTATACGGCTCACATGATGTTAGTGCTATCACCAATTTTTGTGGCAAATAATTTGGTAACTAATTTTGAATGAAAGAAAGGCTAAGAAGTAGTGCATCACAGGTATGCAACGTTTTTTGTTTTTTTCATTTTTGTAGAATTGTAGGATTTTTCTGAAAGAAAAAAAGAAAAAGGTTAAAATGTACAGCTTCCTCTCTAAGCAGCGTAAGCTAATTCATCATTTATTGTCCCAACTTCTTTATAGTACCGTGCGGCACTAGATTAAAAAAAAAAGAGCTTCAAACCAAGTATGCAATCTAAAGAGCAATTTCTTCCACTCCAGGTATCCGATGGCGGCATCCCACCACAACACACCGGAGGGCTATCATGACGGCTCTCTCACTCTTTGCCGTGCTCAACATCACGTACCTGTACGTCCACTACGAAGTTCGCATGGCCGACTTATCCCACCCGTGGGCCCTCTTGCAGCGGTCGGCTCCGAACGTAAGCGACTGGAGCGAAGCAGTTCCATCGTCCAGTTCAGAGCTGCCCACGGAACCACCGGACGCCAGCTGGGAGTCGCACCAGTCCTGGGGACCCATCGAGCAGCTATCCAGCGGATACGACCGCCTTCCGTATCCTGTTGAAAACACCAGCTACCTGCCAGCCGCTCCTTCGGTGGCTTCGACGTGCAGAGACAACCTGAGCTACCTGTTCTTCGTCCACACCGCACCCGACCACTTCACCCATCGTGACATTCTACGCAAATTTATCGGAGACGCCACGCTAATGTCACGCTACAACTGGTCCATCGTGTTCTTTCTGGGTCTCGCCCGAGACGCCAAGACAATGGACATGATCCTGGAGGAAGCTGCGCACAACGGAGACATCGTGATCTTTCCTTACATGGATACGTACCGTAACCTCACCTACAAGTACGTCTATGGGATGAAGTGGACGATGGACAACTGTCCTTCCGCGAAGTACATCGTGAAAATGGACGACGACATTGTGTTGAACTTGTATAAGCTGCTTAGGTACATAGACCAAATAACAGAGTCAGAAGAACCGGCGTTTCACTGTTGCGTTTGGCGCGGCATGCCGGTTCTTAGGCATACCATGTCTCCGTGGTACCTTTCGAAAAAACAGTACCCACCTAATGTCTTCCCGACGTACTGCTCTGGGAGCACGGTTATATTTAGAAGCAGCATTCTGCGGCCGCTGTACAACGCCTCCTTCGAACTTCCTTTTCTTTCAGTGGACGACGCACTAGTGACCGGAGAAATGGCCAGGATCGCAGGCGTGGGACACGTGAGACTGAACAGATACTACGCCTTCGGCGGTGAAAAGTGGAAAAAAGTGGTCAAAGGGGAGATCATCTTCGGACACATCCACGGCGAAAGAGCTCGTATGAGAGGGTGGAAGGCTGTGGTGAAGGAACTTCTAGCAAAAAGAAAAATAGTGCCAAAAGTATCCGATACTAATGACGTTTTGAAGTCGTTGCGAACTTGGAGCCTAGGTATCTCATCGACCGCCGGGACAGTCATCGTTCGGACCACAACTTCTAACGAGGCTTTGGACGTGAACCAAGTGTCTCGTGTTGCTAACAATCATGCAGCGGACGATGTGACTGGGGAGCCAGAAAGTGACTCTCCAACAAATAGTATCACTTCTACAACGGATATGCGCGTCATCCGTTCTAATGCTCTACCTTCGAGCTGATAGAAGCTTCGAGTCAGTCACGTGTCTAGAAGGACGCGTATATCTATTGTAGAACTGATACTCCGTTCGCCCTCATGATCAACTGGAGCAAGCGCCGTCTTTGCGAGATCGGAGAGGTGTGGAGTTTCTGGGGATCAAAAGAACTTGCGCGCATGAAGATTAGCTCTCCAGGCAGTTAACTCTCGTTCACAACATTAACTTAAGCCGAATGGAAGCGTAAACAGAGCACCATTGCGGAGGTTATAATGAACTGCTTTACGCTCCATCTCACAAGTGTCAAGATCGCGAACAACGGCACAGGTGTGCGAGCCGAGCTCAGCCATGCGTGTGATTTTGTTTGTGCAAGAACGCACGTACACTCCAATACACGGGCCTCTTTCACGCCGCTGTGGTGGCGTGGCTATTGGCAGGGCGCATGCCTAAATGCTCTACAAACCTGGTTCCTGTGCACGAGCAGTGCCCACACCTTCGTGTGAGAACTGCGCGTTTGCCCACACTTAGTGTATATTTGTTTGCAAACAGCGCGTTCTCGCACAATGGTGACTGATACGCGCCTCCGACTGGTGTGTTTAGCGTCCTATCCTGCCCACACATCAAAAGGGGCTCCGGAGTGGCAACAAATGACGTCACAAAAGCCGGATCCGTGTCATTCTGTCGGATGTCGCGATCCTGGCGGTTGGGCGTAGAAATGCTGGCGATAAGCACGAGCGAACCCGAATGTCGCTGTCGTCATGGCGTCTCAACTTCTGGCTGCCCGAACTTCCGTGGACCAGAGAGCGACCTGCAGCAGAGCAGGCGTCTGCTTCATGCACCACCGCTGCTGGAATATCGCCAGGATCGCTACCGGCGACAGCGTGACACTTCTATGACGTCACCGGGCGGAAACCGAAGGACCAAAGTTTTGGACGCGGTAAACACACGAGTTGGAGACGCGTTCCAGGCACGTACTTGCACTGGAGATGTTTGTCACATAACGTAGTAAAGTGTCAGAGATATGTGTACTGCACGACACAGTTAGCGCGAACATAACATCGGCGCTTTTCTCGCAATTTTCTTTGAAGGGGTACTGGCGGGTTTCAAAATCCACAGTTCAGGTTATTACGCCAGTGGAGCACTTTCCAGCACATTAGTAGTTTCGATGGCAGTCCTTCAATACTGAGAGGGGGAAAAAGCTGGCGATGGTTTGTTGGCGCTAAGAGTGTCGCGGTGTGTGCGGTATACCCGTGACAAGATGCGCGCGACGGGTGGGAAGGATGGCCTAACTTTGACCTCAAAGATTCTGGGTGGACACGATCGAACATTGCCACCTCCAAGATTGCCAGTTCTTGGACGTGTGAACATTTGTATCAAAATAAAGATAGGGCATACGCTTTGCACTCCGGGCACCTTGAAGGTCATAATACCCGGCTTTTGCACACCGAGAATCTGGAAAGTCACCATTCGTCCATCTTTCTGACCAGTCGTGCGACTGGTCGGAACGTGCGACATACTATCGGGTACGAATGAATTGCAAACAGCGTAGCGCGTGGCCTACGATACATGCTGCCTTTCCTAGAGGCAACTAATAAAACTGCGGGTGGAAAGGGGGCTGCGAGGGTACGCGAATGTGCAGATCCCGTAGCCCCTCTCTCAACTGCGCACTCTTATCAGTTTTATAGTCGGCGACAGGTTAAAGGCCCGTTCACACACTTGCGACCTCTTAGAACCGGGTGCCTTGGAAGCCGGTTCTCTTGCAACGAGAGGACACACTGGCGCCATCTATCGGGTAGCAGTGTAAACTTGGCGGTTCGGCATATTTTATATTCCTCTCGTGCATTATCCTTTTTTTCTTGGCGTGAAAAACTTTTATCAACGTTATAAACGAGCTTTCCTTGTAGGTTGTACGCACATTTGACCTCGGAAATGGCGCAAAACCTTCACTCTTGCGAAATGGAGTTCCAGGGGCACCGCATAGATGGCGCCAGACTGCCAGTGAGTTCTCTCGTCCTAAGAAATTTTAAGAGGCTTCAACAGACAAAATTGGAAACAGCGCGAAAAAAAAAACAAGGGACAAGAACGAGAAGTGAACGAACACAACGCTGACAGGAAACATAAGTTTATTCCTGCGAGGAACAGAACGGAAAACATACAAGATGCAAGATAGATAAAACAAATAATCCACCCCCTTGAGGCACACCCATTCTGTTATTTCTGTTCCTCGCAGGAACAAACTTCAGTTGCCAGTCAGCGTTGAGTTCGATCACTTCTTGTTCTTGTCCCTTGTTTTCTTCGCGCTGTTTCCAATCGTAATCGTAATCTTTATTGGCTCAGGAGAGCCGTGGCACCACGGAAAGGCGACAGCCCGTACCATGGAGGCCCGCGGTGCCACGTCTAGTGATGATGATTATGAGATGATATATACAAGGGGGGAACGACGCAGTCTTCTCAACATCGCAAGCACCGTTGCTTGAAGGCTCGGGGTTTGCCAAGACACTTCTACCAGCTGTAAGAAGTGCCTGGGCAAAGGGTGCTGTCTGGAGGCTTCACCATGCGGCTGGGAAAGCCTTGGCGGTTTGGTGGTGGTCCGGACGACGTGCTCTTCTGATCCGCCGAACGAGTCTGGGAGGTTCGGCGGCGGTTCAGGCCAGTAGGCAAGCGAGCCAAGGTGACCTTCGGTAGGCTGTTCAATGGACGTTCCAAGTTTGCAGTATGAACCAACTAACCCAACTTCACGCCTTGTTTCAATAAGTCTCTTCTCTCTCGGTGGTACTCGGTTGCAAGAGTGTGAACGGGCCTTGAGAGGGCATAGTACCTCCAAGCGCCATAGAGATTACATGTAGATTTTTGACGTTTTCAAAAAATTCCTACATGAGAACCGCTCTTTGTATTTGCTTGAAACTTTTACGATAAAAAGATTAATACTTGATTGTTTCATTGGCGCAGATCATATCTCTCAGTATTTAGTACAAATATATATTTTTAAATCGTGAAATCGACTCAAAACGGTAGTTTTGACACTTTTGGGTTTAATGACGTTTTACATAATCTACCGATTTTTAGAAAGCAGTTGTGTTTGCGCAAGTGCCTCTAAAATTTAATACGGAATTGATTGGTATCAAAATAAGTGTACGTTAATCCGTATACGTTAAATTGGTGTACGTTAATCCGTATCGGAACTACAGCAATATTTCCGAAAACGAGTTTCTTTCTTTCGAAAAAGAAAACAAAACAAATTTTGATGTGTTTTGCATTTTGTTCTCCTCCCGCTAGATGGCGGTCTCTCTACGTAGTTTGCGTTATTCGGTGCACACGTTTTTTTTTTTTTTTTTTTTTTTTTTGTATTTATACGCGATTTTCTTTTGTTCGAGCGACAGCGAACGCGGTTCAGTTCAACGCTGCGGCGCTTGGCGTTTGGTGCGTTCGAATTTTTGCCGTTCGGAAGAGTTGCGTTCGCCTCTGGCGAACGCAACACTTCCGATCAGGAAGAAGAAGGATAGCTGGAGACGAAAGGAGGAAACATTTCCCTCGCTCCAGCAGTCCGCTCGCTCCCCCCTCCCCAGCCTTCCTTTCCCTCACCCTGCTTCGTTTCACCTTCAGTCCAGACGCATCCGACGCTACTAGCTGATGGGACCAACCAGACAGCGTCAAAAACGCGCCATCATGGTGTTCGCAGTCAGTTTCGCCTCAGCGTTCGATCCGCTGCTTCGCCGCCTTCCACGCCCGCGACGCTCTGTTATCTTTCTTCTTCCTTTTCTTTTTGGGCACAAGTTCGCCCCAATAAACGTTTCAGTTTCCCCAGTTATTTTTGTTTCACCTCGTCATTCGTGACATTTTTGGTGGAGGTGCGGGGTACCGCATGTCCGTGCAGCGCACCCCTCCAAGTTCCCGCAGTACAAGTCAGAACCCAAGCTCTGGAGGACTCGACGAAGACCAGATCGAGACCCGATCAGGTCGCCGCATCCAAGGTCTACACCCAGAACACGGACTTCTGCCACCCAGGACCACGCAGCCAACGAGGCCGGCGATGGACAACCAGCAGCCGCAGGCCCCGGCCGCTTTTACCATCGTTAACCTGCCCATCGCACCGCGGACGGCTGCTCCGTTCCACGGCGAGCAGTACGAAGATGTCGAAGACTGGATCGACCAGTACGAAAGCGTTGCCCACCACAATGGCTGGACACAGGAGCAGCGCCCGCACAACGTCTATTTTTCGCTCAAGGGAAACGCCAAGCAGTGGTACGAAAATCAAGAATCCTCTTTACATCGTGGGACATTTTCAAGAGCGAGCTGAAGGCCACATTTATCAACCACAACCGCCGAGAGAGAGAGAGCCGAGGATCTACTGCGAACCAGAACCCAAGGCCCCAACGAGACCATCACCGGCTTCGTGGAGGACGTCCTGCACCTGTGCGCCCGCGCCGACCCTCGGGCCACATAAGAAAAGAAGCTGCAAATCCTCATGCGGGGCGTGAGAGGCGACATCTTCGGCGGCCTGGTCCGCAGCAATCCGACAGCAGTTCAAGATTTTGTCATTGAGGCAACGAACATCGAGCGTGCTTTGCAAGCCCGAGCCAGTCACTATCAGAGACTACCCGGCCTCGCTGCCCTTCGGCCATCTAGAGGCGACCTTGCGTCCAGCATCCCAGGCAATCGCGAGATCATTCGCGACGTCGTGCGGGAGGAGCTCCGAAAGCTGCAACCCGCCGCTGACCGACTAGCTTCGCTCTCCATCGCCGAGGTCGTGCGGGAAGAGGTGCAGAGGCCATTCAGCCAGAGGCTCCCAAAAGCGTAGCAGCCCCCGAACAACCGACGCTAACTTACGCCACAGTGGCCCGACGGCCACCGCCTCCTCCTCGCGCCTATGTCGCGCCGCCCCGACGTCAGTCTCCTACGCCGCAGCACGACCGACGCCACACAGACCAGGTCCAGTACGTCTGCCAGGCGCCCCGCGCACCCCCGGAGACCAACGTGTGGCGAACGCCCGACCGACGCCTTCTGTGCTTCCACTGCGGGGAAGCAGA